CAACTTTATTATTATTATTATCATCATTATCATTATCATTAAGTTGCCAAGCTTGGACACCCCTGAGCCAGGCTGGCTAGGCCTTCTAGAAGTTGAAGTCCACAAGTCTTAAACTTGCCAGCCTGAGCTGAGCTATTTAAAGTTGAATAAAAGAGAACAAAGTAAAACAAAGCAACGTTCTAGAACAAAAACACAGGAAGCTCCAAAAATGAAAGAGTTATCATTATGGTAATCACCATAATGAAAGGATTCCAGGGGAAGATACATTTAGGCAGGGTTGTTGAGCATCGGATAAATGAAAGACAGTAATGGCTGAATTAAACTAGTGCCAATAAAATGCTAAGCATCCTGGAACTGGGTGTTTTAAAGTACTTCCTTCAACTATTTAAGCCTAACTGGCCTTTGAGAGGGCCACAAAAATATGGGTCAACGTGCTACTTGCAGGCCATTAAATTGGTAGGCATGGGAAAAACAAGCTTCTCCGTGGAGTTTTGTGGCTACATAATTCTCTTTCAAAGATATAATTTCTGCTTCCTCCGCAGATTGGAATCTAAAGAACTATTTTTGCATCTGTTTTGCAAATTCTGATCTTAAAAGGAGAGTTTAAAGGTTGTTGTCATTTTATTTCAGATTCTGGAATGAATTCTGTTTCTGTGTGATTCTTATTGTAAACGTTGCATTCTTTTAATCACTAATTTTAAATGGTGATGTTTCAGCCCTGAAATATACCAGAAAAGTTGTTAAAATAAATACAGTATTGTTTCGTAGCTTTTCACAAAAAAATATTTTAATGATTCATTTAGCAATCAGTTTCAGTCAGAGTTAGTTTGTTCTCCAAAGAAACAAAATAGGTTTTGAATAGTGTTAATAGTGACCTATAAAAACCTTGTGAGGGATGGTTTTTGTTCATTCTTTGCCAGAAAATCTTAAATTAATATGAACTAATTTGCCCAAGGAAATAAATATTTCTCTAAATTCAGGTAAGATACATCAATGCACAATCCACTAAAGGAATAAAGTGGCTTTATTTTTAAAAAATGTGAAAGGGCACAGCAGAAACTAATAAACATATAAAAAGCATACTCACTTTAATGCTATCTAGGTTAAATAAACTATGACTATAGTTAATTTTGCCCATTGTCGATGCATGGAGAAAGTCAGTATTAAAGAATTTTATAAGCAGCAATTACACATTCTTCTAGCATATCTGAGTTTGGCAAAATAAGAATCAGTGAGCATTGCCACCTGATTCTCAGACTGAGAAGAAGATGGCTATTATTTTATTAAAACTCTTTTATTCCACTTTTTAACTCAGTGGGCTATAGAAATATTAATCTAAAGGTGGAACTCTACAGTAATATTAAATGCAATTCATTGGTTGTCAATTATAAAGCCCTCTGAGACTTAGGATCTGGTTACTTATAAGACCAACTTCCTTCTCTTTCTATCTGATTTATCTTATCTGAAAGGGTTTCTGAATTCTAAGTCCCTTCATAAATGCTATCATCTTGAAGAAGAATAGAATGGAACGGAACAGAACAGAATGGAATAGAATAGAATAACAGAGTTGGAAGAGACCTTGGAGGTCTACTAGTCCAGGGCTTTTCAACCAGTGGTACGGGTACCACCTGTGGTACATTGGCACCTGGCAGGTGGTACGCGACCATCCTAGAAAAGTGGTAGCAGGGGAGGGGAATGAGCTGAACCGGTGGCAGCACCGCACAAGCCTGAGCAAGAGATGGCTGGAGCTGCAGGGCTGTCAGGGCTCAGCGGAAGCGCCAGGATCAGCTCCAGGCTCCAGCTGGAGCTCGGCGCTGATCCTGGTGCTTCCGCTGAGCCCAGAAGAAGCGCCGATCAGCTGGAATGTTGCAGCATCTCCAGGGTCTTGTGATTTACATTCAGATGCTTGGCAACTGATTCATATTTATGACGGTCACAGTGTCCCAAGATCATGTGAAGTGACCAAAACCTGCTGCAACCACCCAGCAGACGGAGGGAATAAAAACCAAACACCCCCCCCCACCCCACCTCTGCTGCCAATCCTCAACAGAAATGCTCACAACAATGAAAACCTCGGACAGGAGGAAGAGCGCCGCCGGGTGGGCAGGCAGGTGTCTTACTCGGCTGTGACTTGGGGGGGGGCTTTTTTCAGTGCCATTGTAACTTCAGTCACTAAGCGAACTGTTGTAAGTCGAGGATTACCTGTACTTGACCACTTTTTTTCTTCTTTTTTTGGTCATCAAGTTTTTGACACCTTGCTAGGCGACTGGTGGTACTCGGATGTTGCCATATCCTAAAAGTGGTACGATGGGTGAAAAGGTAGAAAAGCCCTGTACTAGCCCAACACCCTGCTGAAACAGGAGACTTTATATTATTTCAGACAAGTGGTTGTCCAATCTTTTCTTAAAATCTCCGGTGATGAAGCATTACAATTTATGAAGGCAAGCCATTCCACTGATTGATTAATGGTCTGTGGGATCAGCCTTGGGGGGAGGAGGAAGAGCAACAATGGTGCGGCAAGAGACCTCTTAGCCCACAGAAGGAATGGAGATGTGGCAGCACCTCAGAAAAGACCTTCTCTAGTTCCCTGGAAAGTGAAGGCAATGGAGCAGAGATGTGTTTTGAGACTTGCAAGATTGATGTCAGTCCTCCCAGACAAGAAATCAACATCCTAAGTAATGACATACCTTTATTATGGAGGCTATAGTAACATAATCTCTTGAGGTGCTTTCCACACCCCCATTTCTTCTGTGAGCTTAGGAGACAGGCCTTCTCTTAAGCTGTGTGTACCCTATAAAACAATATCCTCCCAAAGTGATGAAATGGTAGGTGCAAATGACCTTGGCAGACAAGGGGGAGGAGTCACAGTTAGGGGAATGGTTGGATAAGATAAGAGGTTGCTTAGCCCACAGAAGGAATGTGGGTGTACAAACAACTCAGAAGGGGCCCTTCCCATTTTCTTTAGCAGTAAAGGCATGAGGGAGGAAAGACTTGCAAGGTTCTGTTTACAATAAAGTGGAATTAGTTCATCAGGGTGTGCTTCCTATCTGGATTACATTGCAAGGAATATATGACCCATACATTGGTGGTTCTTTCATAAAGCTATAAAAATATGGTTCTAAAGTAGGACAATCTGCTCCCTGATAGCTTATACTGATTGCTCGGAATAATGTTGTCAGTTGATTGTACTTCTCTAGCGCATGATATGCATTTTTGTCTTTTGTTGTTTCTGTTACCTGTTTTCTGATTTAACCAAAATATGTAAGGTGCCTAGAGTTACACCCCTGATGGAGGGAGTTGGCTGGCTGGCAGGCTAGCTGATAGGTGGAAGGATAGATCTATAGGAAATAGCTGGATAAGCAAATGATTATCAAACACTCAGAAAGAAGGGGGGAGAGAGAGAGAGAGAGAGAGAGAGAGAGAGAGAGAGAGAGAGAGAGAGAGAGAGAGAGAGAGAGAGCGCTAACCACTTCACAAATAGACAAATAGTTTGGCAGAATACCTGAGAATCTAATGGGAAAAACGGGATAGTTTTAAAAGGACACAGGTTGACCTAATATTTTGCCACACAGCATTTTTCATTTATCTGAGCTGATCTATGGATATGCCCAATTTCAACCAAATCTAATAACATCCCATAAATGCCAGCATGTAAAAGAAATGGTAGCAATTGATTTATAATAATAAAGTTGGAAAGGACCTTGGAGGTCATCTAGTCCAACCCCCTGCTCAGGCAGGAAACCCTATACCATTTCAGACAAATGGCTGTCCAACTAAGAAGAGGGCGCGCCTGACTGAAGTAGAAGACAGAGGATAAAGAAGTCAACAGAAAAATCCTGAGAAAATTAAGGAATCTCTGCAAACTTCCCAGCCATCTTCCAATAATCAAGTCAGCGGGGAAAGGCAGATTCGCTTAATACAATTCACTTAATAATGGCGGTGGTTTGCTTAACAACCACAGCAGAAAGGTCATAAAATGGAGCTCAACTCAAAGATGATCAAGGAACTCACTGCTATGAAAGTTGAAGGAGCTGGATAGATATGCTTAGTCTTAACAGAAGATGATTGTCCACTTTTGGGACAGAAAGCAAGGTGTTTTCTGTCCTGAGCTTGGGGGACAGCCCGTCAACTCCAGGAATGGGTTCAGGGAATGGCAAGAGAGTTGAACCTGAAGATCTAAATGGCTACCAACAATTCTCTGGTATTTTCCATCACAAGAATTATACTAAAAATGTCTTAGGGAATGGCCTTAAAGAACTACAAGGAGAGACCTCACTGCACTAAAGCAAGGATCAGACAAGTACAGTTTGAGCCCGTTCCAAGAAAATAATTTGACAAAATGTCTCAGAAAGGCCCCTCTCCAACTCTCATGAAGAGAAAGTGTGGAAGGAGGGAAGCCCATTCAGACTTGCAAGATTCTATCCTTAGAACTGTTCCAATAAAAGTAGTTCTAGCCTTACATGGCATTGGTTTATTTAGTTACTAAATTTATATTCCGTCCATCTCATTGCTACAGGGATTCTAGTTTGCAGAATAATAAAAACTTTAAAAGATAATGCAAAAGACTTAAAATTGGAAAGATTAAATAGTAGGCTTCTTACTTTAGGTTACCTTTTAGGGCTCACATATACTATAAGCTAGAAGCACTTTGGTCTTTGTGTGATTGGCAGCATGTTTGAGTCCTACTTGTGATATCCTTGAAGAATGGCAGATAGTAACTTGCGATAAATGAGGAGACTTTATAATATTACAAATATTTCCCAAGAATTGCTCAGGTGTTTTATTTCTTCATTTTGTTTTCCCATATTCTCTGGCCGTAAGCTATTAATTATAAGAAACTACATATTCCATACTGTATATAAATAATTAATATAATGCAAATAACCCAATTAGGATGGGGTTTTTTTTAACGTAATTTTAAATGCAGACTTTACTAAGTGTAAAATGGAGTCAATGGCATCCAACCCTTTGCTGATACTCGTTTTGCTTGTGATTCTTACCTCTTTTTGGTCAAGTTGTAATGAGGATTTGATCAAGTCCCTCAGTGCAGTGAGCTGCTTCTTTTCTTCATCTTGTGTCTGTTTTATCTAGAGCAAAAAATATCCACAACTTGTTACCCATGTACGTTTCTTTAGTATTTGGATCAACATCAATATACTTACATGTGTGTCTTCGTGCCTGTATATAATATTAGATTTTTATCCCTCCTTTATTAGTATATAAGTAACCCAAGGCAGCAAACATACTTTAATACTACCTCCTCCTATTTCCCCCCATAACAACTCTTTGAGGAGAATTGGGCTGAAAGTGTGTGACTGGCCCAAGGACACCCAAGGTGGGACTAGAACTCACAGTCTCCTGGTGATTAACTCAAAGTCACCTAGATCAGGGGTCCCCAACCCACGGTCCATGGACTGGTACCGGCCCGCAGCATGTCAGAAACTGAGCCACACAAACAAGTGAAGCCCCATCCGCAGGATGCAGGCAGCACACGAAAACACGCCCCCTCTCTCCTTGGAACCGGTCCCTGGTGCCCGAAGGATTGGGGGCCTCTGACCTAGATGTTTTTCATGCTTAAAGTGGGACTGAAGTTTGTAGACTCCTGTTGATTGGCCAGAGGTCACTCAGTTGGCTTTCATGCCTAAGGCGGGACTAAAATTCAAGAGTCTCCTGGTGATTGGCCAGAAGTCACCCAGCTGGCTTTCATGCCTAAGGCGGGACTAAAATTCAAGAGTCTCCTGGTGATTGGTCAGAAGTCACCCAGCTGGCTTTCATCCCTAAGGCAGAACTAGAACTCACCATCTGCTAGTCCCTAGCCCAATGCCTTATACTCTAATTAACTATATGTATGTGTAATGGAGATGAAATATTTGCTTTTTTCCCCCTCTCTTCATTATTTTTTATTATCTGAAAACTATAATCTGCTCACTCCAGAAAGGAAGTATTGAGAATGCAGATTTTCTTTATTCCTTTTTTACCAATATATATTCAAAACAAGCTAAATAGAGGAAGTATGTTCAGCCTCTTCTAAAACAACCACAGTCACTTTCAAAAAATTACTGATCCCATGGTTTGACCACAAAGTCAGGCATTCCTCACGCTACAAAACACCATTTTACAACACTAATCCTTTTAACACTAACTGCCAGCACGTGAGACTCTCAGAATAGTGGGGCTGGTTGAGTATTAACCTAGGTCAGGGGTAGGCAACCTTGGCTCTTTTATAACTCGTGGACTTCAACTCCCAGAATTCCTGAGCCAGCATGGCTCAGCTTGGAAACCTCTCCCTTTCCCCTCAGCACGGCTGGCTCAGGAATTCTGGGAGTTGAAGTCCACGAGTCATCAAAGAGCCAAGGTTGCCTAGCCCTGACCTAGGTACATAAGAGGTACGTTATAGAAATATAGTTGAATTTTAAAAAATAAATGGCTGGAACAAATTCCCAAGTAATGTTGAAAAGTCGTCGTAATATCCACATGGGTGCAGAGCAATGGTATAGGTTAGAGTAGTGTTTCTTGATCTTGGCAACTTTACGATGTGTGGACTTCAACTCCCAGAATTCCCCAGCCAGCATTAGCATTAGCTGGCTGGGGAATTCTGGAAGTTGAAGTCCACATATCTTCAAGTTGCCAAGGTTAAGAAAGACTGGCTTAAAAGCTCCCCCCAAAGTTCCTAAACTTATAATAAGGTTATTTATTTCTATAATGTACCACGACAGAGCCAATCTACCAGAGGGCTATTCAAATGTGTAGCCAGCCAAATACTTTCATTTTTCAAGCAATGCAGGAGAATGAACTCATAAAAACACAGCAGAAACAATGTCATTCCATTTGAGGCCACACTTGTAAATCAGTTTCATTCTCATCCCAAAGGTGTTTGGTTTTTTTTCCAGGAGGCAACTGGACTCTTCTTGTTTTTATTTGAAGATGTTTTGCTTCTCATCCAAGAAGCTTCTTTAGCTCTGATTGGATGGTGGGGAATGGAAGGATTTATACTCCTTGCAGACAGCTGGTCATTTGCATTCTCTGAGTCTTCTTTTGGTCATTCCAAAAGAAGGCAAATGACCAGCTGTCTGCAAGGAATATAAATCCTTCCATTCCTCACCGTCCAGTCAGAGCTGAAGAAGCTTCTTGGATGAGAAGCGAAACATCTTCAAATAAAAACAAGAAGAGTGCAGTTGCCTCCTGTAAAAGCACCTTTGGGACAACCATAACCTGGATTGACTGAGTATCTCTATAGACATTTCATTCTCAGCAATCTAAGCAAACTAGTCCAGTTAGTTTAAAGAAATCTGAAAGTCGGCAAGGCCAGGTAGTCCTTTTGTAAAAATGATTTTGTGAATCCCACCTCCCTTTTTATTCTCGGATATGTAAACCCCGCCGAAGGTAATGATCAAAAAGGCCCTATCTTATGAATGACTTACGTTATATAAATCAGCAGCTAGCTTTTCAATGTACTGTTTGAGTTTATCAGCTGTCTTCAAGCCGTCTTGAAAGAAACTATAATGAAAATAAAATGTTATTTATCAGCAATATTGGGATCGGATTTTAAATTTCACAGGTCCCCCCCCCCCAAATACTTAGGTTAGCCCCATTCCTCACATCCCTGTGTCAACAGGGGAACCAGAGATATGTACCAGTGGAACAGCTTACCCCCAGAAATCGTGGGCATCACTGGAAATTTTTAAGAAGAGACTAGACAATCACCTGTCTGAAATGGTATAGGTTCTCCTGCTTGAGCAGGGGGCTGGACTAGAAGACCTCCAAGGTCCCTTCCAGTTCTATTCTATCCTATCCCATCCCATCCCATCCCATCCCACTCCACTCCATTCCAGAGATGAATATATTCATTCTCTCTCTGGGGTTTCTAGATTCTTACAAAATTTCATTTTTTAATATTGATTTTAATTTTTTATGACTATGTGTGTGTGTTTTTTTTTAAATTCTGATTGTTATAAACTGCCCAGAGTCATTTTATATGAGATGGGTCACCATATAAATTTGATTAAGGTAATCCTCGACTTATAACCATTCCTTTAGTGATGGTTCGAAGTTACAACGGCACTGAAAAAAGTGACTTATGACCCGTTTTCACACTTACGATGATTGCAGTATCCCCATGGTCATGTGATCAAAATTTAGGCACTTGGCAACTGGCATGTATTTATGATGGTTGCAGTGTCCAAGGTCATGTGATCACCTTTTGCAACCTTCTGATAAGCCAAGTTAGCAGGCAAGCCAGATTCACTTAATGACTGACTGATTCACTTAACGAGCACAGGCCAAGCAGTAGCAAATTTCCTTTCATGTGAATTATATCTTACATTCAAAGCAGCTTTTTTCTTCTCTTTCCAGATTATATCAAGTCACCTCTTGATTCGTTGTTCAAACCAGTTTGTACGACAGTGAAAGGATAATCAAATCAAACATTCTATGCCGAATAGGAATTAAATACCTGAGACTTCATCTGAGGTTTTGAACAAAGGCCGTTCAAATTTTGTTTTGTTTTTTAAAATGGAGAAATTTCAATAAAAGCAGGTGATGTCATCCCCGAGGAGAAAAAAAAACCTTCTAAATTTTAAATAACCCATTGCAGATGAATATCTGAAAAAATATACTCACTTGCATTGTGCATGATAATACTTAATAAGATTCTGTAAAAGATCCACGCCCTTTTTTGTCTTGATTTCATTAACCTTAATGAGATACTATGGAAAGAAAAATAAAATAAAAGCTCAGTAGATAATTATACATTTGGGCTTAGCTGCATTCAAATGCAGGTTCTATTTGAAATCTATTTTAACAAATTTAGCAATTATCTCGCAAGTTGTTTACAGCTAGCATCTAAAGGCACACTGCTAATGTGTGATTAAAATTGTGTTGTATGTAGAAGAGTAAAACATAGCAAGGATATTTTACATTAAACCAATACTGTGACGAATAGTGCTTTCTAACGTATCTAATGCTATTGTTATGTCTTCTTTCCTAATACAATTACCATCCTTTTTAGACATCAAATAGCTTGGTCTAAATTTGCATTAAATGCTTTAAAGTAGTAACCCTGTTCTACAGTACGCCATTGCACTAAATACATATAGATGCATGAAAAGCTATAAACATCAGGTTTATATGTTCCTCAATATGCTACAACTCCATACGCAAATTCCAAATTCATCATAAATGCTGCTTACAAATTATGCTAGCATCACATTCATTTTTAATATCTTGATTATTTGTAAACCACCCAGAATCGCTTTGGATTGTGGCAGAGATAATTGACACAAATAAATTGTGCTGTGGTGGCACAATCGAACCACTGAGCCCTGGTGGCACAGTGGTTAGAAAGCAGTATTGCAGGCTAACTCTGCATACAGACAGGAGTTCGATCCTGACTAGCTCAAGGTTAACTCAGCCTTCCATCTTTCTGAAGTCAGTAAAATATGGACCCAGACTGTTGGGGGCAATATGCTGACTCTGTAAACCACTTAGAGATTGCTGTAAAGCACAGTGAAGCGGTACTTCTATTGCTGAACAAATATCCCATTTAGTCCCAGGCCAAAATCTTGCATTATCATTGGGAAGATTCACATGAAATGGTGGGGCAGTGGTTAGAATGCAGTACTGCAGGCTAATTCTGCTGACTGCCGGCTGCCAGCAGTTTGGCAGTTTGAGTCTCACCGGCTTAAGGCTGACTCACCTTCTATCCTTCCAAAGTCGGTAAAATGAGGACCCAGATTGTTGGGGGGCAACAATATGTAAAGCACTGTGAAGTGGTATATACGTCTAAGTACTATTGCTATCCAAACAAAATGCAAACATGCTAGGGAATTCCGGACATTCAGACATATCACCCATCAAAAGACCCATAGCAAAAGACCACATTTACATATTACTTAGAACAGACAATAAGAAACCTAGAAAGGAAACAAAAAGGCTGGAACAGGTCTCCTTCAGCAGCTAATATTCAGATAAGCAGCGATTAACACCAGACAAATGTTCAGACAGAAACGTTCAGACAGAAAGCAATCAAAGAACCAGGAAGGAGAAAACTACAGCCTACAAAAACTGGCAGATAAGCTACTACATATAAAGACCCACTTGGATTGATGATGTTACCTAGTTTGGTAATAAAATGTCTGCAGGCAATCAATCAAGTTTATACAGCACCAAGAACACAGGTGTCGTTTTATACATTGTGGTCAGAATAAATAGATTTATAGAATGTTTAATCATAGAATGTTTAATCGTGAGGGGTCCTTGGTGCTCTATGAACTTGCTTGTTTTCTTGCATATGTTTCATTACCCAATGCTAGCACTGATGATGCTACTTAATTTGGGTAATGAAATGTCTGCAAGAAAACAAGCAAGCTTAGGGAGCACCAAGGACCCCTCATGTCAACTCTGACCTACAAATATTCTCCTTTATTAATGTTTAATCATTTAAATTTTAAAACATGACTTACTTCACACATCTGGAGTTGGAAAAGCCTTCTCTCTTTCTCCATTTCTTCTGCTATCTCAGCTCCAGTAATCTCTGTCCGTATCATCCCATGTTGTTTGGCATGTTCCCTTTTTTCCTTTTCGATTTTCGTGCTGTCAAATTGCAAAACAAACCCACAAAAGGCATTTAGGAAACCTGTCAAATGTTGACCATCACAAGAAACCACAAACTGAGTGTCTGGAATATAGAAACAATGGCATTTCTCATGTTTTCCATTTTCTCAGACTTTGTCAAACAATAAATCCAAAACTAAAATAGCTCTCTCCACCTTAAAAGCAAGCTGTCAAGTGCTATAAAGCAGGAGGAGGACTCGGTTATTTTAGAAATCCAACATAAACATATCAAGAACCATTTGAGTTATATACCACCTTGGCATTTGAGGTTTTTCCAACTTATGCTTCATTTTAAGGAAATTAACTATGGAAGCAATCCTGTTCCAAAAAGAACTGTAATATATTTTGAATCCTTATTTACTTATTCCTTTTAAAAATTATAACATGATTCACATCTGGGGTTCCCCCACCCATGGGCAACAAACAAACAGTACGATGCACTGCTACAAATTCCTAAGTGGGACTGAGTTATACATTTATTTTTGACGCGATGAACCATGAAGTGATAGACATGTGGAAAGAGTTCAAGTACAGGTAGTCCTCGACTTACAGTGGCTTATTTAGTGACCTTTTAAAATTACAACATCACTGAAAAAAGTGACTCATGACCATGTTTCACACTTACAACCGTTGCAGCATTCCCCATGGTCATGTGATCAACATTCAGACGCTTGGCAACTGACTCCTATTTATGACGATTGCAGTGTCCCGGGATCATGTGATCCGCTTTGTGACAAGCAAAGTCAATGAGTAAACCAGACTCATTATCAACCGTGTTACTAACTTAACATTTAAAATCATTCACACAAGCATTGCTTGAGCAGGATTGTCTGGGACGCTACACATCCTCTTCACAACCTGTTTTCCTTGTTACTTTCTGGGAAGAGGGGGCTCCATGGTATCAGTCACAGTTTTGTCCAAATACAGTATCAACCTTGTGAACTCTCAAGTTTCCTCTTTCTGCTATGTATTCAAGCTGGACAATGTGTATGTGTATATGTATATATGGATGTATGTATGGGTGGAGATACATAGATATAGATATATATAGATAGATCTATAGATAGATATGAAAGAGAAAGAGGTAGGTAGGTAGATAGATATGAAAGAGATAGATAGATAGATAGATAGATAGATAGATAGATAGATAGATAGATAGATAGATATGAAAGAGAAAGAGGTAGGTAGATAGATATGAAAGAGATAGATAGATAGACAGACAGACAGACAGACATGTATATAGCATGTGTATATGTGTGTTATGTATGTGTATGGGTAGATATATGCTTTCTTTTGAGAATAGGCAGCAGATTTCATTTTTAATGTGTTCAATGTAAAAAAATAACAGTAAAGGTTATCTTATCTTAACAACTGTGGCAAAACTCACTTAACAAATGTCTCACTTAGCAACATAAATTTTGGGCTCAATTGTGGTCGTAAGTTGAAGACTACCTGTATAGAAAGACAGGAGGTTATTTATTTTATTTTTCACATTTCCGTCCTGCCCATCCCACTCAAAGAGGGACTCTGGGCCGTGTACAATAAACTTCTTGACTTTAAGCACAACTGTTTGTTCAGCAAAGTTAACCATACTTACAATTTGGTCTCATAGTCCTTCCAGGCTTTATCAAAAGGCTTTTTCAGATCCTTAGGGAAGAGAAAATTAACTTAAAATAAGTTTATGGCAGTGCTATGTTTAAGTGTGTACACTTAAGGTATCACTCCACAATTATAAAATGACTTAAAAGCTTTAAGTATTCCCCCCCCCCAATCTTAGAGCTCATATATCTCACGTTTTTGTACAAAGGATTGATGGGAAAGATAAGTATGCAGTTAAAGGCAGATGTTGTCAGTTGTTCATGCAAATGTGATCTTATCCCCACTACATTGATAGATAATAGCTAAACCAGAGAAATCACCCACCCTATTATTAAAGCCCATATTAAATGTCTAGGCTTACCCCTTTAATTCCTTTCAAATCGCCTTTCAACAGGGAATCCAAGGTGAAGATAACATTATGGCTCAACCCTTGCAGCTAGGAAGAAAAAGCAGTATTATTCAGCATTTAAAAACAGTGAATTTAAAATGAAAAGGCTGAGCGCGAAAGAATGGAGGCCTTTGAACTAGGGTGCTGGAGAAGACTCCTGTGAGTCCCTTGGACTGCAAGGCATTCAAACCGGTCAGTCCTAGAAAAGATCAACCCGGACTGCTCTTTAGAAGGCCAGATCCTGAAGTTGAAACTCCAATACTTTGGCCACCTAATGAGAAGGAAGGACTCACTGGAGAAGAGCCCAATGCTGGGAAAGATGGAGGGCAAGAGAAGAAGGGGATGACAGAGAATGAGGTGGCTGGATGGAGTCAATGAAGCAGCAGGAGTGAGCTTAAACGGACTCCAGAAGATGGTAGAGGACAGGAAGGCCTGGAGGAACGTTGTCCATGGGGTTGTGATGGGTTGGACACGACTTTGCAACTAACAACAACACCTGTATTCAACTTAGTCTTGTCATTGTTGTCCTTTCTGGCATCACATTTGTATTGTTTCATCCTGAAGTTGAAACTCAAGAACTTTGGCCACCTAATGAGAAGGAAGGACTCACTGGAGAAGAGCCTAATGCTTGGAAAGATGGAGGGCAATAGAAGAAAGGGTGACAGAGAATGAGGTGGCTGGATGGAGTCACTGAAGCAGTAGGTGTGAGCTTAAATGGACTCTAGAAGATGGTAGAGGACAGGAAGGCCTGAAGGAACGTTGTCCATGGGGTCGCGATGGGTCGGGCACAACTTCGCAATTAACAACAACAACTAGTAGCCCTCAACTTACAACCATTCATTTAGTGACTGTTCAAACTCACAACAGCACTGAAAAAAGTGACTAATGACCATGTGCACTACCTCCATGGTCACATGATCAAAATTCAGACACTTGGCAACTGACTCTTTTTTATGACTGTTGCAGTGTCCTGAGTGATCCCCTTTTGTGACCTTCTGACAAGCAAAGTTGATGGGGAAGCTAGATTTACTCAACAACCTTGTTACTAACATAACAACTGCAGTGATTCATTTAACCACAAGAAAGGTGGTAAAATAGGGCAAAACGTATTGAACCACTGTCTTCCTCAGCACCAGAAACTTTGAGCTCAATTACGGTCGTAAGTCAAGGACTACGAGTACCAAATCAGCCTCATTTTTGTCTCGTTTCTAGGAGGCATTTACACTCTAGAGCCAAAATTTAACTTATTCCTGCACGTTGGCAGTGGACCAAACTTCGTACAGCACAGGTTTTTTATCCTAGTTAGCAAAGCTACACCAAGGAGAAAAGGATTTTCAGAAGGTGTTTTTAGATAAAAGAGTAAACCATTCAAGCACTGCCGAACAATATTCAGCCAACACAGTTTAACCACCACTGAAGGTGGTTTTCCAAAGTTTTTACTTCTTTAAAGCAGCTGGGAGCCTTTTGAATTTCACAACTCTTTTTTTTTTTTTTTTTGAAGGAAGAAGAAGTTCAAAACTAAAACAGAACTGGGGAGGGCATCTTGAAGAGCTAGGCAAACTGTTCTTCTGTTGAAAAATTTATTTATTTATTTAGGAGGGTTTATATAGCCGCCCACTCACTCACTCTCCATGACTCTGGGCGGCTTGCAAAAATAAAAACCCAATAGGCAAACAGCAAAAACAATAACCCCCACCCCCACCCCTGGCAACAACCATCAATCAGAGAAGCTATTTGATGGGCTTCGGTCCCACTCCAGGCTCGCCAGGCTTTTTTTGCCTTTTATAAAGAAAAGAAAGTAAAATAATTTGAATGTTGAGATTCGAGTCAAATTGTGAACCCTTTTCAAGGCCCTATGGCAAGCCAATGCATTTGGAGATACAATGGGAAAAAAAACAGGATTAGTAGGGTCCCATAAAAAAGGTAAGGCAAACCTGTAGGATTTATGAATGAAGGCAAAGTCAGTGGGGGAGCTTGCAGGATTTCGTTCAGCGTTTTTTTCTACTTGGGCAACTTGGAGATGTGTGAACTTCAACTCCCAGAATTCCCCAGCCAGCATGCTGGGAGTTGAGGTCAATAAATCTTCAAGTTTCCCAGGGCGGAAAAACACTGGGGTAGAAGTTTACGTGTATGAAATCTGATCCCTGAAAGTCAGTTTCACATGTTTCTGCCTCTCTCAACTGTCTGCAGATTTGTCGTTCATTTTATTAAAAACTATTAATCCAGAAGATCACAAGATATTGAAGCCAATGCATGATGAGCAAACCCAAAAAGCGAATACAACCCTGGGTTGTATAAACCGAGGCATGGAATCAAAATCATGTGAAGTACGGTATTAGAGCTGCTTTAAAAAAACTTATTAACCCCACATTTGGAATACTACATTCCATTTTGGTCACCACACTACAAAAAATAAGTTGAGACTTTGGGAAAAGTGCAGAGAAGAGCAACTAAGATGATTAAAGGCCTGGAGACTAAAACATAGGAAGAACGGTTGCAGGAAAAGGCTGTGGCTAGTCTATAGAAAAGAAGGACTAAGGGTGACATGATAGCAGTATTCCATTATTTGAGGGGCTGCCACAAAGAAGAGATGCTCAACTTGTTTTCCAAAGCACCAGAAGCCAGGATGAGAAACAATGGATGAAAACTAATCAAGGAGAGAAGCATCCTAGAATTAAGGAGAAACTTCCTAACAGTGAGAACAATTAATCAGGGGACGGGCTCGCCTTCAGAGGTTGTGGGTGCTTCATCATTGGAGGTTCTTAAGAAGAGACTGGACAGCCACTTGTCTGGAATGTATATGGTATCCTGCTTGTGAAGGGGGTTGGACTAGAAGACCTCCAAGGTCCCTTCCAGCTCTATTCGGAATCAAATCATAACTTTGCTTGTCAGAAGCTGACTGAGAAAGTCGCAAAGGGCAATCACATGACCCCGGGACACGGTAATTGTTGTAAGCACATACCAGTTGCCAAGTGCCCAAATTTTGATCACATGAGCTTGAGGATGCTGTGACGGTCAGTGGTAAGTTACTTTTTTCTGTGCATTTGTAACTTTGAACACTCACTAAACAAATAGTTGAGGACCACCTGTATGCTCTAGAGGAATAGAGAGGAACCAATGGAAGAGCAGAAACGCTGATACTAAATACGGAAGCTCAAGATTTATATATTCATATTACATAAACTCAAAGCTGCTATTACTGACTAGCTAATGTTCATGCAAGATACTGTCATTTTGACAAGGAAGTATTCTTTATGTGAGAGCCATGGATGTCCCAGGCTCCTGCTGCTTCCTTCAAAATAGCAAAAGCCTACCTCTTCTGGATGTATGTGCAACATCAAAACACTCATAAAAAATGGGTGTCACCCAGGAAACACAACTAAATGAATTAATTCTGCTTTACTGTAAGGCTACATTAAAAGAATCTTGCAAGTCTGAAGGTATCAGCTTCCTGCTGCGGCCTTTAATTGCGTGACACATTAGGACAGGACTCTCCTTGGTTTCTTCCTCTGACTGTTAAGCTACTGTGGGCTCCTGCTTTTCTTATCTGATTGTTTCCTAGGCAGTATCTCTTCCCCTTGTCATCCAGACATTCCATTAGAATGAGTGGTGCTTGTGTCACACAGTGCAATGCTGCTTTCGCCAGATTGACCCTCTTTGGAAGTTCTTGCTGATGAATTTGACAGAATAATTGAGGTTATTTTCCAAAAACAACTTTGGAGAGACTCAACCATAGCTTCAACTAAGAAGCTGTGACATCCTAGAGAGACTAAGCCAAATTCAAAAACGCTAGAGCCTTCCTGGAAGCTTTTCATTCCGAAAAAAACAGCCATCTACAGACCCATAGAGATAAACCACATTTACACAGCTTTCGAAAGAGGCAATAAGAAAGCTAAGAATGAACTAAAAAGACCAGAACACATCTTCTTCTGTAACTAAGACCTAGATATGCAGGGATTAATATCAGGCAACCAATCAAGGAGAAAACAATCCTAATCAAGCAACTAACAAAAAAAGGCATGCCCCCCACCAACATCTGTAGACCAAGCTACTGTATATTAACAAGAAGCAAACCCCGCACTCAATAGCACTGAGGATGTTACCCTGGCGAGTAATGAAGTATCTGCGAGGTCAGAGAGCACCAAGGACCCCACAGAAACAACTGCTCAAAATTTCCCTTACATCAGGGTCTCCAAACTTGGTGACTTTAAGATTTGTGGACTTCAACTCCCAGAATTCTTCATGCTGGCTGGGGAATTCTGGGAGTTGAGGTCCATAAGTTTTAAAGTTGCCATGTTGGGAGACCCCCACTTTATGCCAATGGAACAAATTCAAATGTAGCATTTAGACTATAACAAATACTACATATTTGCTTCACACGGTATTAGAGAAGGAAGGAGAGCCAGTTTGGTGTAGTGGTTAGAGAAATCGCGCTAGAACCCAGGATACTATAAGTTCCAGTCCCACCTGAAACATAAAGTCAACTGGGTGAATTTGGGCCAGTTACTCTTTCTAAGCCCTAGGAAGAAGAAAGAGGGACACCACTTCCTAAAAATATTGATATGAAAACTGCCTAAACTTGTCCAGGAAATCACCAATGTCTACTTTGACCTGAAGGCACACCCAAAATTAAATATAATTCATTTACAGGAACAGGATTTTCACTGTATGCTTCCATGCTGAATTTTAGTCACCTCTTAATTACTTCCCAGTTTGTGGCAGCCACAGGTCACCAGCATATCCAACATACTAACTTTCCAAATTAGAATTACAAGGGAGAATTAAAGAAGAGAACATGAAAGAAGAGAAGAGAAAGAGAAGGATGGAGGACAAATTATGATCACATGTTGGATGAGATATTACATTCATTCTATTGTTTGTATGGTGCAGTGGTTAGAATATAGTATTGCAAGATGAGTCTGCCCACAACCTTGAGTTCGATCCTAACCTACTCAAGGTTGACTCAGCCTTCCATCCCTCTGAGGTGGGTAAAATGAGGACCCAGATCGTTAGGGATAATATGCTGACTCTGTAAACCTCTTAGACAGGGTTGTAAAGCACTATAAGTCTAAGTGTTATTGTTGTTGCTATTGTATCACTCAAAATAAGCTTACTTGAACAGTATGTATTTGTACCTTGTAGTAATAATTCCTATACATTTATACAATAAATACAATATTTATAGCTTTACAGTTTTGTATTCTGAGGAATGGAAAACTTATTATTTTAATACTGAACAGATTTATTAAATGTACTGAACAGGAGGAGATTGGAGGAGAAAAAAATGCATTCACTTAAAATTATTTCAACAGCATTTCAACCGTTTCTCCAGAATTATCCAGTGCAAAAACCAGACAAGAAAATTAGTTTTAAAATCCAGATTTAGGGCAAATGCTATTACAAATGACTGCATAGACTGAATAGCTTCAGTCGTTCACAAAGCTGGACCAAGTGCTTAAAAACATTGCATTAGTACTCAATAAATGTAACATTTTTTCCATAGTTGTATAGAGCTGGATTTAAACAACAATGCTCCCTCCAGAAATGTAAACGGTTCGGTTGTTTATTACAATCAATACTTATGTAACAATATAACCTACAATTTATATCACTTATGTAACAAACCTTATATAATAATGATTGTAAATATATTGAAGGACAAAAAGATTAGAAACATCTTACCAGATTTTTAAGCAGTGTTGACAATTCCTTAGTTAGCATGGAAAATTTTACAAAAGCGGTGCCCAGGTCTGGATTATCTCTACTTAAGAAATTACTTCCAAATTTATCTAGCACTTGTGCATAGCTTTCTTCATTTTGGACATGTTCTAAAAGAGAAAAATGTTTAGTTAATTCCACTTTGCAAGAAGACAAAATAATAGCAGAAAGAAATAAAATAAGTATTTTTTTCTAGAAGAAGAATGCTAAAATTGGTCATTTCTTTGTTTCAAAGATATTAAAAGGATGTTATTTCATTTAGTTATTTTCAGTTGGAAGGCATCAGCAAGTATTAACAAGAGACTCCAACTATTAACAAGAGGCCTCTCTCAACAGAAGGGAAGGGATGTGACGTCATCAATCTCCAGTCTACAACCACAGTCCTTTCAGCAGTTCCAGGAAGGCTCCACACCCATTTGCACTACTCAGGTGACCTTGAAGACACAGATAAGTCTCCAGGGGCTTCAACCACTCTCTCAAAGAATGCAAATGACCAGCTCACTGCAAGGAATATAAATCCTTCCATTCATCCAGTCAGACCTGGAACGAAGCGTCTTCAAAGAAAAAACAAGAAAGTCTAGTTGCCTTTGAAAAAGCACCTTTGGAAGAGACTCAACGTCTTTCAGCAAAGATGCCTTCATCAAATCCTAAAGATCTGCTATTTTGACCATGTTACTAATGAAGAAATGCTCCAAAAGAGTGTCTCCTGCAAATTACATAATCTAGTTCAGAGGTAGGCAACCTTGGCTCTTCGATGACTCGTGGACTTCAACTCCCAGAATTCCTGAGCCAGCCATGCTGAGGGGAAAGGGAGAGTTTCCAAGCTGAGCCGTGCTGGCTCAGGAATTCTGAGAGTTGAAGTCCACGAGTCATCAAAGAGCCAAGGTTGCCTACCCCTGGACTAGTTGCAGGCAGCTGATTTCAACTTGCAACTCATATACTCCATATGGAGAATAATCAAATGCCCAAGATGGCAATGAGATGGAGTCTCTCCCGATGTTAAATGACCAAGAGGATGCCCTTGAAATACATGGCGAAGAACGTTCATACATGTCTTAAAGACCTTAAACATCACATGAAAAGACACCGAAGTATTAGCCCTAAACCCAAAATACATGGTTTGGGAGGCTCTGATGCTAATAATGCGAATTGCAGGACCAATATTGGACTTTTAGGGAGAAATTATCCTAACCATGTTTTGCTCTCTTACAAAGAGTTGAGGTTGAGACTATAAAAAAAGAATTTGAAGAATGACTTGGAGATAAAAATTCAGCATCAACATCACCTCATCATCCCAGGAACGTCTTGTGATAGTATATAAAGGTAGTCCTCAACTTAACAACAGTTCGTTTTGTGACCACTGGAAGTTACAATGGCACTGAAAAACAGTGACTTATGGCTGCTTTTCACGCAAAATCCCCACAGTCATGTCATCAAAATTTGAACTGATTCATATTAATGACGATTGCAGTGTCCTGGGGTCACGTGATCCCCTTCTATGACCTTCTGACAAGCAAAGTCAATGGGGAAGCCAGATTCACTCAACAACTGCAGTGATTCACTTAACAACGGTGGCAAAGAAAAGTCGTAAAATGGGGCAAAACTCACTTAACAAATGTCTGGCTTAGCAACAGAAATTTTGGGCTCCATTCTGGTCGTTAAGTCAAGGACCTATGCATAGACTAAAGACCGCTCCCTGGTTCAATTGTTAGGACACGCTTTAATAGCAGATTAATAAAAGGATCACAATGCTTTAATAGCATACTAATTAAAGAGAGGAAGAAAAACAGCAAAGCCCAACAAAAGAATTAGTGATGAAACTGGAAAAACAAGCAAAAAGAAAAGAATGTTTCCTAGAACAAAACAGAAGTTTTCCTCATTGAGTCAGAAACAAATTATTCACTTAAGAGTTTTGATCTCCTTGACTGTGATTGAGTAACAAAGGACATGGCATAAATAAACGCTATGAATCAGAGCAAACAAACTAAAGGTTAATTAAATCTCTTCTGTTCTGTGACCATCCTACAAAAGCTGCATTCGACAAGATGCTCAAGTATTTCTTAGCATAGTTAATATAAGTATTGAATGTATTAATAATGCTAAATAAGTCCATCACGGCCATAAGATGCTGGGGGGGGGGAAGGGACCCAAAGAAGAAATATTTTATTGGCCCAATTGTAGAAATTCCTGTGGCAACATATTTTGTCATAGAAATATATAATATTCAATCTGCTTAAAAAAGGATTACACAGAATATAAATTCTTACATTTCAGAAACTGCAGAAAGAATTCAAAGACAAAATTTAATCAATCTCACCATTCAATATTAAGCCTGGATTACAAAATAATTGTCTGTCTTGTTTATTTAACCAACATACATGCTGCCCATTTGCCAGAAAACAACTGGGAATGGCAAGTACACAAGTAGCCCTCGACTTACGACTGGCTGCTTAGTGACAGTTTGAAGTTACAACAGATCTTCCAAAAGTCATTTACAATCTAATATCAAAGTTTCAATTGCTACACCCAGTCCTGTGGTCACATGATCACACTTTGGGGCAACTGGTCCACTTGTATGACCATTTGCAGTCTCCTGCAATCACATGACTGTGATTTTGGATGTTTTTCATGGGTTTCTAACATTTTAATTTCCATTTCCAGTTTAAAAAAAAACACACACATTGGGGTAAAATGCTGCAACCACCTCAAAAAATGCTGAACAATCAAATTCTGTCACGTGATACCTCGATTTTGGACTACAATGACTAACAACTGCAGTTCCAGGCTCAGTTATGGTTGTAAGCCAAGGACTACCTATATTATGGGAAAAAAGATGTTTTGCTTCTCATACATTTTTGGAGTGGGCGAACAAGATGCACAACCAAAATCCAGTAACAACTATCTGCCTTAGCTAAGCTGCTGTTTCATCTTCCCGCAAAGTGGTTTTAGGAACAGGAATTACAAAATTTTGCATTAAACAAATAAGACCATTTGCACTAAACAAATTAAACAAATGAGAGCTAGCTTTGTCTAGTGGTTAAGGCATCAGGCTAAAAAGTGGGAGACTATGAGTTATAGTCACACCTTAGCTATGAAAGCCGGCTGGATGACTTTGGGTCAATCACCAGAAGAGGGTAAGTTCTAGTCCCGCCTTAAGCATGAAAGCCAGCTGAGTGACTTTGAGCCAATCACCAGGAGACTGTGAGTTCTAGTCCCGCCTTAGGCGTGAAAGTCATATGGGTGACTTTGGGCCAATCACCAGAAGAGGGTAAGTTCTAGTCTCGCCTTAGGCATCTGGATGACTTTGGGCCAATCACGGTGAGATATTGAGTTCTAGTCCCAAGTTAGCCATGAAAGTCAGCTGGTTTGGGCCAGCCCACCTCACAGGATTGTGGTTATGGATAAAATATGAGAGGGAAGATGTGTTCAATATCTTCACTACATTGAGTTATTTATAAAAACAATAAAGACGGGATACAAATAAATAAATAGAGGGGGAACTGGCAGTTTTATTATCTTTATATCTTTCTTTGATGCTTTCCTCTAACAAATTTACATGCTTACTCTTTGGATGCTCAACAAAGTCCTAAATCTCTCTTATTGCCGCTTCTTCTGCCTCATCTGGCTTTAATTTGTCTTTTGTCTTTTTAAAGTTGCCATGATGCAAAGCAATATAACAGCTTGCAACAACATATTTATTTCTAGGAATATAACTTACTTTTTCATTAAAGGTTCTGAACAGAAACATAACACAAGGGAATGGCAGAAGCTTGGGAGAGGTTGGAATGGGAATGGAATGGAATGGAATAGAATAGAATAGTTGGTCCTTTCCAACTATTATTATTATTGTTGTTATTATTACTACTATTATTACTATTACTACCTCCAACTTATCTTCCAACTCTGTTATTCTGTTATTCAGTATTCTGTATTCCAGTACTGTATTTAAAATGTCAGACTGACAACAACTCTCAAATTTTAAACTCAGCAGCACTTTTTCATGTGGCTGCTGATAAAAAGAGGATCGCCAACATGATCGCCAATGTCCGATAACGGATATGGCACAAGAAGAAGAAGATATGAAAAAAATGCAAGTGCATTTCTTTTCTAAAGTAGGGAAGAGAGATTAAAAATTAATGATGAATGTAAATAACGCTGCAGAATTGCCACTTTAGCTGCCTTTTAACGCTAAAAGCAGATGTTCTTCTGCTCTAGCAAAATGGTTAATATCCACCACTAAGATTCATTAGTGCATGCATATAAAATCATCCAGCTATTACCTGGATGACGATTGATATAGCTGTTGAAGAATGCTACAGTGTCCCTGGTTGTCTGAAATAGTTTTTATTTCTTTGGTGTTTTACGACCTTTGAGTGTTGTTGTGAGCCACCCAGAGTTGTGTTGTGTAAGAAGAGCATCCGTATAAATATTTTACATAAATATTGGCTGGCAAGTGGAAATGGAAGGAAGCCGTTTCACTCTCTGAGTTAAGTTCATCCTCCATGATTTCTGGTGATCGCCACTTGCGTCAAATATTGGTTCTTCTAGTTTTAATCAGGATGTTAAACATATATTCAAAATTGTATTTAGAAGTATAAAAAAAAACATTGAAAGAAAACCACACACACACACACACACACACACACACACACACACACACATATATATGTATGTATGTATGTATGCATAAAAGATATTGATAATACAAAGAACTATACCAGGGGCAGCCAACCCTGGCTCTTTGATGACTCGTGGACTTCAACTCCCAGAATTCCTGAGCCAGCCATGCTGAGGGGGAAGGGAGAGGCTTCGAAGCTGAGCCATGCTGGCTCAGGAATTCTGGGAGTTGAAGTCCACGAGTCATAAAAGAGCCAAGGTTGCCTACCCCTGAACTACACAGAGGTAATCCATGACTTATGATCACAATTGAGCCCAACATTTCTGTTGCTAAGACAGAAGAACTTTGCCACATTTTATCCCCTTTCTTACTATAGTTGTTGAGTGAATCACTGCAGTTACTAAGTTAGTAACATAGTTGTTAAGTGAACCTGGCTTCTACTTGCTTAGTAGAGACAGATACAGCAAGAGTTACACTTAAAAGGTCATGAACATTTCAATAATTTCTAGAAATATAAACAAAAGGATGTAAATTGAAAAAAATACGTTTAAAAAAAGTGTTTAAAGTTACTTTCTTTAGTCTGGTGAAAATATTGTAATAATAATCCGTATTTTCCCACTCCATTATATTTTGAAATTCTCCCTAATCCTCATCGTTCAAAACAACTTATTTCAAGTTTATTTATTATTAATTAACATATTAGTAAATAATAATATAGAGAAATAAAGCTTACCTTGCCCAGAATTATATATTGCTTTTACAGATTTTTTCACTTTTTGTAGTGCAGTTCTGTCCTGATCTAAGGCCTAGAAGGAAAAAGAAAATGGAGTGAAAGAAAGTCAAATCAGGGAAAAAGGACTTCTGTTTTAAATTGTGTATTTCACTGCAAAACAAGCCATGCAGAATAGTTTTGCCAGCTGTAAAATATTGTTTAAGCACCATTATCGGTCTCTGAGAGACGTTCGTGAACCAGTTCCCTCAATCCAACTACAAATGTTAGACTGTAGAAAAAGCTAAGAAGCTCAAAGTGACAACAGTGATTAATGATGGGACGTAGGACCACTCCTCAGAGTTCTGGCTGTGGCAATAACCTCTGTGGTCACATGAACCAAATTTGGGCACTTGGCACCTGGCTCGCACTTATGACTGTTTGCAGAACCCCGTGCTCATGTGGTCGCCATTTATAACCTTCCTGCGAGCTTCTAACAAGCAAAATCAATGGGGAAGCCAGCGGGAAAGGTTTAAAGTCACTCCAGTGAATTCTCACACATACCCCGGGGTCTATCTTCACTTGCACCACACCGTTTTCTCTCTTTGATCACAGTCCCTGTCCCCTCCTTCCCCCTTCATTCACAGGTAGCATGCTCTGCTTCTTCCCTTCATTCTCACTCACTGCGCCCTCCTTCCCCCTTCGCTCACATGCATTGCACCCTCCTTCTCTTCTTTGCTTGTGAACACCCTGCACCCTCCTTCTCAGAACAACAAGAGTTGAATGGGATCTTGGAGATCTTCTAGTGCCAGAATGGGACAATTCACCACGGCTAACTCACTGCGGCCCAATTCGCTGTGGGAAAACTGAGCCACAGCCCAATTCAAAAATTTTATTTCATTATTTAAAATAATTTAAAAAAAATATTCTAATTTTTGATATTCCCATTTCATTTTGTCTCTCCTTTTGCATACTTTCTTTAATGATTCTACTTTACCATTTCTTCGATATTAAGTAACTTTTGTCCCACGGCAAGTTGTCCTGCGGTGAGTTGGCTGTGATGAATTGTCCCATGGTGAGTTGGCCATGAGTTGGCTGTAGACCAGTGGTTCTCAGCCTTTTTAATGCCGCGACCCCCAACCGGTCGTAAGTCAAAGACTACTCAACTGGTCGTAAGTCGAGGACTATTCAACTGGTGCAGCACCGTTTGCAGAATGGGACTTTTGGCAGGCTCAGCAGGGCAGAGACAGCCTGGACAATTCCTATTGGCTTTTGAAAGCCAATAGAATTAGACTCTATTCAAGAGAGTCTATTCTATTGGCTTTCAAAAGCCAATAGAATAAAAGGGAGTAGCACAGCTAAGGAAAAGGGGGGAAAATGGCGGACTGTGTTGTTTAACGACCTCCGTGAAATGGTCGTTCGACCCCAAATGGGGTCCCGACCCACAGGTTGAGAACCACTGCTGTAGACCAATGGTGACGAACCTATGGCACACATGCCAGAGGTGGCACTCAGAGCCCTCTCTGTGGGCACGTGCGTCCTCACCCTAGGCCCACCTCCCCCCACCTCCCCCTCACTAGCAGGCCCCCCGGAGGAGAGTTACCCCCGGGCACAGCCCGTGCAGAGCAGAGCAGACAAGGACATGGCAGCCAGGCAGCAGGGACAAGACTCTGCTGTCGCATCCTGTCATCTGCAGATGATGCTGTGGGGCGTAGGTGGAGGGCATGGCAACCATGGCACTGCAGGGCCACCTGGGTGATCTGCTGCAGCAGGCTGTGGAGGCAGTGGGTGGCCCTGTGGGTGGGCGGGAGTGGGCAGAGCGGGTGGGTGGTGGGGCGGTTTTTGGGCACTCGGTCTCTAAAAGGTTTGCCATCACTGTCCTAGACCCTCTAATGCAAGGGTCTACTTCCCCTCTCCCCCCTGCCATGCTGCAAAGGTTGGGGACCACTGCTACAGGAAACTGTATATACATATTCTGGAAAGACAGAAATTTCCTGAGGATGGGCTCCAGCACAAGTCTGAAAGTTCAGAAGACTAAATCTCTGGTTCCAGTGACTGACCCAAATTGGATCCTGCAACATTATTCTGGGACACGTACATTTGCCTTCATTCCTGAAACCTTATAACATTTCAGACAACTGGGTATCCAATCTCTTCTGAAAAACCTCCTGTGATGGGAGTTAGTTAGTTAGACATACAGTATTGTAATAAGAGCTGATAAGGGATGACGGGAGAAAGACCTGGGCCTAAAGCGAGCATTTCAAACTAATTGGAGAATGTGATTTATGTCTGTTAATTGTGGGAGGGAATTGTGCTTTGATCTATGTGCTGAAGGGAGGGGAAGTCAGATTCTGGCTTCATCTATGTATGTGCCCAAGCTATGCTGCTCATTAAAGATTCTTTAAGGCAGTGGTGGCGAGCCTATGGCACGGGTGCCAGAGGCGGCACTCGGAGCCCTCTCTGTGGGCACACGTGCCGTTGCCCCAGCCTCGCCTCCCCTGTGACCCCCTCACCAGTAGCCCCCAGGAGGAGAGTCGCCCCTGAGCGTGGCCCACGTGGAACAGCACAGCCAAGGACATGGCAGCCAGGCAGTGTAGACAAGACTCTGTCTTCACGCCCCAACGCGCACAGTTGATGCTGCGGGGCACGGGCAGAGGGCGTGGCCGCCATGGCGCTGCTGGGCTGCCTGGGTGATTTGCAGCAGGCCCTGGAGGTGGTAAGTGGCCCTGCGGGCAGGCGGGGGGGCGGGACAGGGGGTGAAGCAGGGGTGAGGCCAGTTTTTGGGTACCCGGTCTCTAAAAGGTTCGCCATCGCTGCTTTAAGGTAAACAATGTCTCAAAATTCTTTGAAGAGTTTTATCTCCTTTAGTCGCTTGCATACATTATGGCTATATTATGTATTTCTATCCATGAATAAATGCTGTTTTCGTTACTTCTCTTTGTTTTGTTTTTTTCCTTTTTAAAATTTCGAGATAGTTTATTTTTCAGTTTGTTTTTGTACTCAAATTAATACAAGCCAAAGTAATAATATTAAAAGACACTCTGAATAAAAGCCCATCACGCTGAAAACGTAGACAATTAAGATGGAGGTTTCATTTTTTTCAAGTGCACTAAATTATTAATATCATGTTCATTAGGTGAACAATTATATGAAAAAGGAAGCCTTCTAAATGGAAGGTATTCCTCTGAAATGTATTTCATAACCGCTTAAAAGGGAGAATGTACACTTTTGTAAAAGAACATCAAATCAAAATAATTATCAATAGACTGAAGAATAAGTTTCATTTCTCTGAAAGATTATTCAGTTTAATTAGTTTTACATCTGAAATACAGTATCTGGTATTCCGCAATATACACTGATAAAATAGATAGCTTTTCACTGTGAGGATCTCAGATGATCCGGCTCTGATCAACAGTTTGCAAATATTACCAAATGTTTAGTCTCTGGCATCTGGTTATCCAAGATAAAGAATACTTTCAGTATATTCTCCCATAAGTAAAATTAGAGACTCTTGGTTAATTAACTTACAGGTTAAGATATCTGAGCTACCCTTACAATTATTGAGCTATACTCAGTCACTACAAAATAAGTTCAATAATTTGGTTTAATAACTAGTTTTCAGTGATATATTTACCCAGCAAATCTAGAACAAAATAGATATCATAATGAATGCTACAAAACATATTTTGCAAAGTAATCTTTCCACGGTCCAGTTACTTTATTTTTTTTTTTACTTAACAATGCTAAGGAAGAACTTTTCAAGTTAGGTTTACAGATTAGATTAACGTTAGGTTTCAGTAAAAATAGTGAAGGAGACAAGATTTTGAAATCCTGTGATTTCAATATTGAATCACAACATAGCTTCCAGATGACTCTACAGGTTGACTTACAACCATAATTGAGACCAACATTTATGTTGCCAAGTGAGATAGTTAAATGAATTTTGCCCCATTTGATGACCTTTCTTGCTACAGTTGTTAAGTGAATTACTGCAGCTGTTAAGTTAGTAACATGGTTGTTAAGTGACTCTGGCTTCCTCGTTGACTTTGCTTGTCAGAAGGGCACAAAAGCTGATCACATGACCCCGGAACAGTGCAACCGTCATAAATATGAGTCAGTTGCCAAGCGTCTGACTTTTGATCACATGACCGTGGGGATGCTGCAACGGCCGTAAGTGTGAAAAACGATCATAAGTCACTTTTTTCAATGCTGTTGTGACTTTGATGGTCGCTAAATGAATTATTGTAAATCGAGGATAACCTGTAGTTCAAAACATATGGAAGTAACCATGATAGCCAAAGCTAGTTTAACAAAGAATGATTTTTTTAGATTTGACATTTCAATTTTAATTTGAAATTAATCATTTCTAATAATTTGTTAGTTGAGATTTTGTTAGTATTTGATAGCAACATTAACATCTCAAAGTTAAGTTAAAAAAAAATCTTACAGGTCCATATTATTGTCTCCCACCCTCAACTCCCAAATATCCTACACGTCATCATGTTGTCTCTTGGTGACAACTTGAGTGCTTTACCTTGATCGAACACTCTACAACAGGGGCTTTCAAACATGGCCCTTTTATGACTTGTGGACTTCAACTCCCAGAATTCCTCAGCCAGGTAGGCTGGCTGAGGAATTCTGGGAGTTGAAGTCCACAAGTCATAAAAGGGCCAAGTTTGAAGACCCCTGCTCTACAACAGCCTTTAACTGAATTTTTCTACATTTCAAAGTTTCCTTTACCATTGACTTTCATTGACTTGCTATTCAAAACTAATTGGTAATTTTCTCCCTAGAACAACTCTCTCTACTCTTAACCTATGTTGAATTCTTTCTCACTGATTACAGAAACAAACACAAATTAGAGTTACAAGTTCAAGAGAGTGATGGGAACAACAAATAGAAATCATTTCTTCTTTCTAACTTGTAGCTAAGATTATTCATTTCGGTCAAACAAATTCAAAATAGATTAACATGTGGTTCTGAACTAGTAGTGTAGTTAATGTGTAATTATCTTCTATGGGTATCAACACAAAGTGTTCTATAAATCGCTCTGCATTTCTTGCTGTCCAAAATTGTGTAATCTTCCAAAAATAATCT